CGAAGTTCTTCCATTCGCTGCTTGGGTTTTGTGGGCCTGGGTCCGGAATTTGTTTTGAGCAGAGGCTGTGAGGTCTTTTTTGAGCAGCTTTTTGGTCCGTAGGCTTTGAGGCCCCACCGGAACAGCATCCTCTGTTAAAAGCCTGTGTAGAGGGCTTGCCCAAAGGGTCGAGTGTTCATTCAAATCATATCAAAACAGACTTCAAGAATGCCACGGCCGAAGGCTCCTCACCAATTCGGCCAGGGAGCTCTGGTTGAAGCAAAAGCCGAACGTCAGACTTTCGAGGCAGGGAAGTTGCACATGCTCCAGACTGTGATTGAACAAGCTTCCAAATTTTAAAGACCGAAGTCCCTTCGGAAGATCCACATCCAATGGTTGATCAAAACGATACCCGAAGGTCAGTTGTCGGAGCGTGGATGGAAAACTCGTGTCTTTCAAGCTCTGATTGAAGTTCTCCCCAAACGTCAATGTCTGAAGCTTTGGAAATGTCACCGCCAGTAGAGGTTGATTGAAATTTGATCCGAAGGTCAAAGTGCGCAGATTGGGCAAATGCACGCCATCCAAGCAGTGGTTAAAACCTCGGAGAAGCCACTACATAGGTTGTGGGCAAAAACGGGGTTGAAATATGTTGAAATCTGTTATACAAAGCAAAAGTTGTTTGTTCATGTGTATTCTCTCTAAGGAGCTCCAACCAAATACCAAATGCTGAAGGCTTGGAAGTGCTACCTTCTCCAGACTTTGATTGAAAGATCTCCCGAAGCATAGTCTTTGAAGCTTTTCAGGCAAACGAACGGACTCTATGCTTTGATTGAAGTCCTACAAGGATGGAAGCCACCGTTTGCAACACACAGTCCTTGTGTTCAGTTCCGTTGAAAGGCTTCTCTTGGTTCTCAGTTGCCCAGCCTCGCCGAAGGTCAAGCTCTGCAACTCTGCAGGAAAGGATGCTTCCAAGGTTTGGTCAAAGCGCTGACCAAAAATTATGCTCTGAAGTTTTCCTGAGACACAAGACTTTGACGACCGGGTCTCCGTTGTCAAATCTGCCTTTTTGGAGTCTACGTCTACCAGGTTGATCAGCACTTGCATGCATAGACTTGGAATCCACATGTAATTAACTGTGGCCCTTTGGTTGCTGAGTAACTCTTAAAAGTGTGTTTCTGAAGAGACCCTCAACCAATGGGCTTGAGTCCATTGTTCCTTTGCTAAGGACTCTGAGAGTTCTTTGTCGAATCTCCGTACTTTAAGTCTTTAACACACACACACACACCTATATAGAGCTCGGGAACTGTTTCTGTGCCAAGTGGCTAGGAAACTTGACTCCTTCTAGGCACTGGTTGAAATTCTTGCCAAGCTTCAAGCCTCAAATGCGTTTACTTGCTCCAGTCTCTGCTGTTGAATGTAAAAAGTTACAGAATCTTGGACCACAAATCCACAGCCAGGAGCTGCTGAGACATGCAGGTAGATCAGCATTCAACAAGGACTGGTTGAAGCAAGCGCCAAAAATCAAGAACTCCAGTGTTTCTGGAAGGACCACGCCGTCGAGGCTCTGGTTGAATTCCTTAAGGCAGTGCACATCGTTTAGGTCCACTCCCAAAGGTGCACCATCCCAAAGGTCCGAACGACGCCACGAACGACCGCATCCATGTTTTGGCGATGCCTGCCTTGAGGGCGGCAGAGCACTGCTGCAACTCTTGCGACCGAGATTCATCACCCAAGGTTAGCGAAAGCAAATTGGGAAGTAAAGTTTGATCCAGGCTCTGATTGAAGCACGAACCAAATTCAAGGTGTTGCAAAGAGATTGGAAACCTCACGCCGTCCATGCCTCAATCCACCAACGGCTTCCATTGGCACTCTGCTCCACTCCCCAATTCCCCGCTGTCTGGTTTGACGTGGAATAATTACAAGACTTGGCAAGGCAAATCTAAAGCAAATCCCGTGGTTGTGACCGAAAGGTGTCCATTCTAGCATGCAGGATGAGCCATTGCCTGCTGTCCAGTGGGGGGTGCTGCAGCTTATGCTGTTTTACCCGTTCTGCGTACCAGAAAACCGGATCACGACGCTCGACTCCCAAAACAAGAAGAGCTCGGCATTGCTCGTCGCATGGAATAGGGATGGCAAAACATGGTTTGAAAACAGAGTTGCCTTCGGAGATTGGTGATGAAATCCCGTGTATGGCACATAGGATTCCGATCTGCAAGAGAAAAAATACAGTAGAGGACCGTCGCCATCGCCCACCCCCATGTGGATGCTGCCCAGGCACTCTGATTAAAATTTCTGCCAAGAACCAAAGTCTTTAGTGATCGAGGAAATTCTACCTCCCTTGGAATGCACACATGGGATCCAACACATGATGCAATTTGCCGTATAAAGAGTCATCTTGGAGACATCCACTGCAGGACTCACAGCTTGCCTGTGCTTGTGGTCGAGGCCGGGTTGTTTTGGTCGATCCCTTTTTACTCCAAGAATCCGCAAGTCTTGATTGAATGAAGCGCCCAAAGACAGGGAGACCAGACTGCTGGGAAGCTTCACATGTTGCAGCGACTTGTTGAAGCTAGTGCCCAGCACGAGGCTCCGCAGCCCTTCTGGAAGATTTACGTGCTCCTCAGCGGACTGATGTGGAGGCATTTAGGAATAGAAAATTAATAGAACCATGAAGTTGCGAGAAGAATATTGTTCTTTGAATAGTTCTATTTAAGTGGAGTCCGATTAAATCAAAGTTGTTGATTCCGAAAAATCGGACTCCACTCCTCCGAGCTTCAAGGCTTTGATTGAAGAGATTTCCCAAGGTCAAAGCTTGGAGCTTTACAGGGAACCTCACGCGCTCCAGGCTCTGCTTGAAGTTGCCTCCAAAGGTGAGGCTCTCCAAACCTGAAAAGGTGAGGCCGGTGAGGCACCAGGATGCGTGACCCTGGTGGTAGCTGATTTCCACCAGCTCGGCTGGTGGAGAAAAACCCAGAACGGACACACAACGTTTACTTGAAGTTCGGGCCTTGCCGGGCCTTGCCCCGTGTTTCCAGTAAGAAGTCTATCAGAGAATATTGGCACAATCTTCCAACAATTCATTGAATGGACCTCAACGGGGCTCGACCAAAACTACCCTTTTCCCACAGCTCCGGAATTTGAAGTCAAGGGACCCTCTGGAAACTCCACCCGCTCAAAGCTCTGATTGAATCCACCTTCGAAAGCAAGACGCTTTAGGCTGCTTGGTAAGCGCACCTCCTCAAGAATGTCGACAGCATATCGGTCAAAACCTGCAGGGTTCTTCTCCTCTCACAGAGACAACACATGGAAAAACGGAAAACTCCTCTGTTTGGAGAAGAACTGCCCGTACCCCACAACAGGCTGTCGCCATTGTCCACTTCCGTGCTCGGTCCTTTCAATGCGAGCACGGCTTCAGTTGTTTTGTCTGTGCGGATGGCCTCTCCAGAGCATTTGCTCAATTTCGCTCCATTTCGAAGGAGAGAAGCTGGAGAGGCCCATCGCGTTTTTCGGTTGGAGGCCATCGGCGAACGAAGCAAGAAGCTACGAACGTATATCACAAGTTCTTTCGCTGCTTGGAGGTCGCATCCCTTTGGGGCTCCGCAGAGTGAGCGTTGTGCGCAGCATACAGGTGACTGCGGGAGGTTGGCTGCCGGATTTGCTTGCGCACTGAGGCAATGATGAGCGAACTTCCACGTACTTTTGATACGCAATTGGCACGCAATTGGCCGATGCGCAAATTGAAAAGATGCGTGAAGCTACCAACTACCAAGAAACATTCCTTAGGTGCAAACATGCAAGACAGCAAATCTTAAGCTTGTCCAAGGAACGAATTTCCTTGACCCCCAGAAGGCAAAAGTCGCTTTCCTCGCATTCGATGCCGCATAGAACCTTCCAAGCATTCCACCTCGAGTGAGAGTAGCATCCATTCTTGCAGCATGTTGTGAGTGCAGGAACACTAGAAACATGCTCAGTACATCAAATGTATCAACCACGTTGCCTCTACATCCTCTACTTCAATAATTGGTCAAAGAAATGGCAAAGGCATGGAGCAAACCGGCAAGCGACTTCTCGAAGCCTTTCCGCCGAGCCACGCGTTGGCCCTCGTAAACACATAGGACAAATTGGAGGGATTATGAAGTCCTTGTTCCTCGATGCAAGCATGTCATTGTCCCGAGCTAGGGCTACATGTGCGACGACATGCTCAGATTCAACTCGAATTGTGCCAAGTGTCTCCCAGAGTTCGAGACATGGACAGTCTCCTCTCTCCCACCAGCAAAATGAGGGGGGCACTGGGGACGGGATCCACATCCCTTGCGAGCTTCGCCCCGAGCAAGTCCACCAGCTCTGAGCCCCGAAGAGTCTCTGGCACCCGCAGAATGACTTCCTGACCCAGTGCGAGCTCCGAAGAGCTCTGAGCGCCCCAACAGCTCGGGTTGGGCAAAACGAGAACAATTCGAACAACGAGATCTCTGTGTGGCATCCATTCCATGATTTTGCTTGTTCCGGACTCGGTCCTTGCCATTCATTCCAGAGATCTTCACTTCCAAGGTCCTTCCCTCACCAACCGTCATTGCTAAAGAATTCCGTTGGAAAAGCAGAGTGTTCTCACGGGCAGTCGATCTGTTGCATCGGTCGTCTGCTTCGCTCTCTTGGCCCTGATGGAAACCTCAGATCGAGACCTCTCTTTACATAGATGATATATCCCAGATGTTCAGATCTCCGTGAATCAAAGCTCATGATGGTTTTGGTCAGACCAAGCCAAAAAGGCTGCAGTCAGTGTGGCCAGGTGCACTTTCATGACAGTAGCCTGTCACCTTCATCGAATCGCCTTCGCCTCGCATATTGAGCGCTCTAAAATGACCATGCCATGCTGACATGAAGCTGACATCTTTCTGGGTCAGTCACTGGATGATGGTCCAGCAACTGCTTGAAATACTGATCCCGCTCTTTCTCCTCCATGACCTGCACTCAAACAGGCTGCTCACGAAATTGTTTGCGAAATGTACACAGCAAAACCACTTTTCGAGGGCAATAAATAGAGACTGGAGTTTAGGGTTGTGCCACATCCAAAGCTAGCGCAAGCGCTTGTGCAGCATATCAACTCAAGCACATATGCAGTTGGGCTTGTTCGGATGCCACAGGCTCCGAACTTGCACCCAACGCACGAAACAACGCACGTTGCTGAGGGTATTCCTCTCAGAGTTGCTGCCCATTGCGCTTGATCGCAAGAACCTGAGCATCCAGGTACTGGCTAGTTTTCTCACACGCTTCTATTTCAATAGCCTTCAACTGTGATCCGAGAAAGCAATCTATTATACTCTCACTTTTGGGGGGCTCATGATTACTGTGTGCCACGTCTTCATGTTGGGATTGAGAGAGGGCTGTTTCGAATGGCAGCTGCTAATGATGGCGGTGCCATATAAGCCTACCTGACTAAAATAACAACACTAGATATATAATGCAAAATCGTAACTCGTCCAAAGGCTCTTTGTGCTTTCCGATGTACATGTAGATATTGTACACGTTCACTCGACGTATATCCACGTAACATGTGTTTGTGTGCTTTTCTCTTCGATCCTGCATCGTCTCCAAGTCGAACTTGAGACCTCTCGTCGCCAAGAAATCCAAAAAAACCAGCTTCTTCCCTTTAGCCCCACCTCAATCTCAAAGAGCAAATCCGCATTCGGGGGAATCCCCCAAGATGGGAAGCCACGACCGCCGTAGCCTGCATAGAAAGTTTGTCAAGCTAAATGACACTTGGGAATAATGAGGTCATGAAGTCTGTATGTCTCTGTGTGTATGTGTAATGAGTAGCACACTCTCACGGTTTGCAGATGGACAAAAGGAAAACGACGTGTCTTATGTGGTTGTGATCTAAAAGTGAATCTGGCGTGCTTGTCACGGGAACCCGGTGGCCTTCTCCTGCGGGGATCCGCAGGCCCCTGGCTTCGCCCTTCTTCATGCCTCACCAGTTGAGCTCCAGGCAAACGTTTCGAGGAAACAAGCTTTCGAGGAAAAGAGACGTCCGTAGGCAGCACAGGCCTCGAGCACCCATGTCCCATCCTTTGATCACACCACCACCGCAGATGTACGTGAAAGGCTGTTGTCCAGCATCCTGGCAGGAGCTCAGGGAGAGCCAGGCCAACCGGTCGTTGAAGACGTCGTTTTGGCGTACTGCAAGAGCATAAAATGTATTTTCTTGCCCGCGCCTACTTAATTAGGTAAGTAAGGAGGTTAGCTACTAGCAATAGGGAGCTCCTAGCTACGACGCAAATAAGCTCACGCTTCTTCAAAGGAAGCTCCCCCCCAGAGGGCAGGGGGAGCTTCCTTGAAGAAGTGGTTCCTAGATTTTCAGGAAAGCTTAACTTGTGGCAATTGGTCTAAAAGGGGGGGAATGTGTCTTCTAGGCCTTCGATGGTGTTTTTTCCAAAGAATTTTGACTTGGGAGACCCTCTCAGACTCACCTCCGACCAGTCTGCAGCATCTAATCCATGCAATCCATGCAACCCCGCGTCCCACCACCTTGGTACTCCAGAACTTGCTCTTGGTCGCTGTCACCAGCCCCGTGGCATGCACAGTGACTTCATCTCCAGGCTCCACCGTGGCGCCCTCAGTGGCACGGCAACATGAGGGCCCTCTTCAGTGTCGGCCCCTCCAAGATTTCGGAAGACTGGCTGTAACAAATGATCCCACATCAACATGTCCCTCTGACGGAAAAAATCAAAAGTCTCATTGGAATAGTCGCAGGTCTGCAAGGGTTTGTCAAGGAGTGTTTCGTGGAGGAAGGCTTGAGAAGTATAGTACCTGTTACAAAGTTGATGTTTTGCGTTCAACAGGAGAACCCCATGTTTACAAACGGTTTCCACAAGAACGAGGTTTCAGCTAACAGCTAGCGATCAAACACACATTTATGAGGTTTTGCAATTGTTGGTGCTCATGTTCTCCACACCACTACCACCACGGGGGAGTCCTCCCGCATTAGAACTTAAAAGCAAACCTGCAACTGGACGACAATGGCCCGGGAGCGTTAAGGCGCACTGTATCACTGTATGTCATAGTAAGGTATGGGACGAACCCCACTGGTCCACTTGGCGCTCAAAGGAAATTGGTGGGTCTAATTTGGCCAAACGGCGTGCCACACAGTAGATACAACAAGGTAAGTGTGCACCGGCAATCATCCCGCTCCAGCGACACGCCGAATTTACGCCAGCGTGCAATCCTTCCCCCAATGGCACGGACTGACGCATATGCACTTTCCACCAAGGCCGCGCAAAACCGCATGTGGCCACATGGTCCGCAACTGTCAACTGACTAGATCCGGTCCCACAGCAGCTCGGCGGATCTCGTACTGATTCTGGAGGATGTAGTTCTCAGTGCGTAGCCGCATGTTCTCCAGCGCCAGTCGCTGAAATAAATGCATTGCGTGGAGCAAATTGAAACTTGGAGTTCTTGATTGAAAGCCGACCGCTGATTGTTAGGCTGATTGATTTGACTCGTTTGACAGTACTAACTGTTATTGTTTATTCGGAACTGATGATGCTGATTGATGCCTGGCGCTGGACGGCCCCCAGCCCTTCGCACTGCCGAGCAGGGAATATCTCGGTAGGAGCCTCCACTTCTGACCCAGTGATGAATTCTTTCGAAATATTTTTCCTCACAAGAGGGCCCCCTGCAAAGCCCTAACAAAGTTACACCAAAAGGTGACCTCTGTCTCCAAGGTTTCCATGCGCGAGGCGCGCAGAAATTACGTTTGGAGATCCCAGACAGGAACTTTTCTGTGAGCACGCGCAGATCAGAGCGAGCACCCTGATCGCACCCAGGCCTACTCCCTTACCGTACAGAGGACTCAGTGTGGACACACTGTTTCAACAATATCAGGCAATATGAAGCAATTCACACGCGAATGCGCTATACATATTCTTCAATGTCCATGTTGGTTGCCAAAACTAAAACAAACATCACCAGCACAGCATTTCCCCTTGTCGCACTTCAGCAGAGAGTTGCAAGTCAACCAGCTCGCGGATCCATGTCTCAGGATCCTCTACAAGATGCATGTCTCCAAATGAAAATGCACGCCGCGCTACAGCCGGAGCGATCTGAGGCACGCATAACGCCGAGAGGGTTGCAAAGATGTAGTCAAAACCGACACAGCGCTACAACGAGAGCGATCCGACATGCACAAAACACCAAGATTGTTGCACAACCACGAAAAAGAGATGCTTTGCGTTGACAACGACATTCCACCAGCAAACTGAGCACGGCGCTACAGCCACAGCGGTCCGACACGCACAAAGTCCCGAGAAGGTTGCATTTGCGACAGTGACATTTGCACCGCGCCACAGCAAAACGCAAAAAACAAAGTTCCAATGACAACTTGTCGTCACCATTACAATACAAAATGCGATTTTTCGATGCTTTGTGACACATTATTGCGCCTGCCACAAACAAATGAGCCCGAGGCGTACAAAATCCTGCACCTACCACGCGAAATGATCTCAACATAGCCGACATAGCCGCTCCAAAATTGACACCAGTCTCACCAAACGAGATCACGTATGATGAAAGACTACGCCTGCCTCGAAAAAAAGTACATTTTTCACCACCTCCAATTTCAAGCCACGGTTTGCCACACCTCGCAAAACCCTCACTTTGCACGTTGACGGCTTTCCGGAAATCGGCACGGTGCGCAGTCGAGAGCGCGCCTCCGTCAAGCACCGTCCCGCGGCCAGCGTTTCGCGCGACCCTGCGCAGAGAAATTGCATCAGAACGGAACTTTTCTGCGAGCCTGCGCGGCCAAAACGCGCGGGCACAAAGAGCGTACCCTGATCGAGCCCGGGCTTTTACACCTACCGTAAGAACCCCCCGGCGTGGACACACTGTTTGTGGAAAAACTCAGCAAAAAATAACCACCCGAACTACAGGTTAGAAACCCGCTAGGCATTAGCACAACGCACTTACAACAAGCCTGTTCTTCCCACAAGAAGCTGAAGAATCACCACACCCATTTAAGGATGTACCAGTATCAAAGTAATAGAGGTATATACATCCAGGACTCGTTCGGAAGGGTTGGTCTTAACTAGCTCCGTCAACATTATATAAATGGAAGATTGATACAATCAAGTTTCTTCCAACATTATCCGGACAGTCTCAAAAGTTGTGCTAAGGCACAGGTGCACCCTCCTGAAGATTCAAAGCGGACGAAGCAAAGACAGAAAATCGGATAAACACCCCACTCAGCAAGAGTGTCAAAATCTGAGTGTGCACGGGGGAGTCGCAGCCACTGCTTGTTGCTCTGCATCTCATATCATAGGTAGAATTGCAGCTAGAGGTTTACGCAATCGAATAAACTGGCAGTATCTTTTTGCATTGGATATTGCAGCTCCAAACTGACAATCTGCACTGGACAATTGGCGAAATGCAAGATGCTTATTCAGATGCAGGTACACAAATGCATTGTGCCAACTCTTGAAGGATCCTAGATTCAGGTATGCCCTACCAGAGGCCAATACCGTTTTCATAAATCGCAAAACCAATCTGTGCGCTAAGGGCAAAGGCCATGTTCAGAAACTCTTTTCCATAAGCCAAGGCAGTGACAAACCCCGGTGTTGAACGCAGCATGTCTGTCCTTCAGCACTGTGTAGACAGTGTCACAACCAGGAATGGCTTGGTACTCAAACTCCTGCTGCTCCCCTTTTGCATCTTTTCGCTCTTTTTGCAAACCACCACGTCGCATCTGGTATTCCTCAGACTGTTTGTCTCGCTGTCACCATGTCTCAGATGCGTGAGCCAACTCATCCACGTTCTGCCTGGTTAGGATATTAGGTACTAGTTGTTTTCATCCAAGAAACACTATCAAAAAAATGATTCTGGAAGCAGATGTTTTTGGTTTCCACAAAGAGAGTCCTAAGTATCACTGGTCTACTTATATAGGCGTTTCGACTTGACCTTCCACCAAGCTGGCCCCAACAAATAGCTTGGCTCACAGGACTTGTTGTGGACAAGCATCATCTGCCTCCTCGGGCGTCATCTTATCCATGATCTCTAGTTTTTTCTCGATATCCTCCAAGCCCTGCAGTGAAGAGGCCTGACGCAACCAGCTTTGCTGAGGGAAGAATTTTGTTCTATCGTGGAACAGCAGTCTTTGACTTGTGTCACTTCTGTATTTTGGTCTTTGTGTATCTTCGACAGCAACATCCCCCAGCTGTTAGCACTCAAAACCCTAAAGCCCCGGCCTTTGCGCGTCCAGTTTCATCTTTGGCTGGACTTAAAGTAAAAACCCAGTAGACAAAGCCAAAGCCCAGTAGCACTACCTGTCGGGTGAAAAATTACCATCAAGTGCGACGGGCTCTTCGGGAACCAACCCCCAGCTACACTTGAAATTTTGTAGGCTGATGTACAAAAACAAATTCATAAGAAACAACAAGGGTTGGAGGCCATCGCTCTTCGGTTGGAGGCCATTGCTTTTAGGTTGGAGGCCATCGCTATTAGAAACAAAGAAAAATGAAGGGCTTAACGCGAAACAACATAACATGAGTTCTACTTCTCAAGACGCCTAGGGCTCCCTACAGCTACACCCAGCAAGGTCAGCGCAAAGCCCAGCGGGTCTCCCTGCGCAGGGTTCATTGAAACATGCGCGTGTGTGTGTGTGTGTGTTGCATGGCTGCATATCACTGTTAGATGCTGATTTTGCCGAATCTGCCAAAGGCGATTGACTTCTCTGGAACTTCCAATACAAGCGGTGTGTAGCAGCCGCAGCCAAAATGCACTAGAAATACTCCACAATATATATATACCTGAGAAAGGAGGGGACGAAAGCCAGCCTCCGTAAGAAGACATCAATGTGGCTATGGGGTAAAGTCAACAGCGCACTTCAACTGCTGCCAGGCATGGGGAAATAGAAGGCAGAGAGGCGCAAAGTCTCGCATTGAGGATGGATAGGATAGGCTCTATATACACAAAATGAAGACCAGAGCTTAAAAAGGCATAACGCGTGGACCAACTCTCATTCGCCATGAGAGGTGCCCTTTTTCATCCAGTTAACAGCCCTCTTCACCATTAAAAGGGGCACCCCCAAGCAACTCCAAGGTCGCTGACTGCGTTCTATGTCTTTCCAGGAGATGCCATTTCAAGACGCAGTGGTAAGGATGCCATTTCTCGCCGCTGCTGTCGGCAACTGGATGGACACACCCAGTTAGCCTGGTCAACTCCCTGTGAGTGAGATCGTTCCTCCACTTCAGAGGTGCCCTTTTTCTTGTGGTTTAGGGGCGCACCCCTAACGCACAGGTGTTTGGCTGCCGTTCGTTTCTTTGTCTTGTATCGGAATCAGAAAGCCGGTGCGCGGCCAAAAGTGGACCGATGAATGTTGACTGGCAAGGTTATGTGCTTGTGTAGTTGACATTGCACCGACCTTTACTGCTGTTAGGCACGGGGAAATGGTATTTAGAAGGAAGACCCGAAATTGTGCAAAAAATGACACCTGCACTCGCGGCGGCGCCCAGATCTTCTCTGCGCGGATCCAAAGTCTGTTTACTCGGCCCTACGCAGGTCAAAGTCCTGGGCCAGACCGTTCATCCGGTGACCTCGCCACGCGCTTGTTGCGCTGCGGTTGTTCATTGGGTTGAAGCGCGGGACACCTCTAGGCTCAAGCACCTTGGCCAAGAATCAACTCACATCCACTGTTACTGGGCATGGGATAGACTTCAATCCGTACCTCTGAGGGGCACCCTTGTTCATCCAGTTACCTCACCATAGAAAGGGTCACCCCGCAGCAACGCAAAGGTTGCTGACTGCGTTCTATTCGGGTTTTTTTGTGCGCATCTCACTTTGAAGCTAGATCAGCTAGTGTTTTTCTGCCGGACCGGCTACGTCACCCCCCCCACACACCCCCTATACTCACTTCGTTTGCCCATCCGCAACTCCAGCCTAGCCTATCGGCTGGGTTTTGTGATATGGCAACCAAAAGCTACCAAAAGCTACCAACCTTGAACCCCTTGTCATCTCGAAGCGACACATTCGTGTCTTGCCTCTTCTTCTTGCGCCAAGACCGGCCAAGAGAATAGGCTACAGCCCATGCCCAGGGCTGGTGCAACATTGCGCACGGGCCTGCATCGCTGGGTCTCTGGCTTCCTAGTCTTGCACCTGCTGCATTTTGATGTACAGCAACTGCTGACCCCACTACTCGACGGCTAGCAGGCTGCGGCTCTCAGGCTGCGCCTGCTTCCAAACACTGAGAGGAAGTCGAGTGTTCCGCATTTCAGCAAAGCTGCAGCCTTAGTTAATTCGCTCTTTGGTTCACTTCAAGCAAGAGTCCCTTCCGCCTATCCGTTGCATGAACTATTGTGGCATCCTGGGAGAAAGAACAAGAGCGGTGGCCAACGCCTGCCAGTTTGGCTGCTTGCACAGCTACAGAGTCAGTACAATGCAGTGATCACCTGTGGAAGAAGACGACCCTTGCTGATGTTGACTGGTCTAACCAAGATGTTGGAATGCCTCAAATAGATTTCCGTCCAAGCGCTGGCACAACAAAAAATACTGACCTGAGAAGGGAGGGGACGAATGCCAGCCTCCATAAGAAGACCTCAATCCGGTTATGGGGTGAAGGCGGCAGCCAAACACCCCTCCAGTGCCTTGGGTGCCCTTTTTCACCTTGGACATGCCCCTAAACGACAAGAAAAAGGGTGCCCCCGAAGTGCAAGCTTTCCTGGTGAGCTCCTGACCTCGTTGTCCTCGGCATGAACTCCCACCCCTTGTCCAAAGCCCTTCCCTTGAGCCCTTTTGCATCCAGTTAACAGCCCTCTTCACCATAGAAAGGGGCTCCCCCAAGCAACGCAAAGGCTGCTGACTGCGTTCTGTTCCCTCTCCTGTCCTCTAAGGGTGACATCGTTCCCCTCCACTCTTATTAGCCACGAGAAAACAGAGGGCTGAATGACGAACATCTCACTTTCCTGGTGGGCTTCCGACCTCATTTCCCGTCACGTTGTCCCCCCTTCCCTGTCCTCGACATGAACTCCCATCCCTTGTCGAAATGCACTATTCGGCGTCACAACACCCCAAAAACCATACATTTTCACTACTCTCCGGACCGCCTCTTTTTTTCGCTCTGCCCCACCAGGCTCTGGGTTCGCCCTACCCTGCCGGGCCGGCTACGTCACCACCCCCCCCCACACCTCCTATATTCACTTTGTTCGCCTATCGACAACTCCAGCCTAGCCTATCGGCTGGCTTTCGTAACAAAGCAGCACAGAGAAGCGCTCTATGTGGCATGTGTTAGTGCAAAGAGAGTCTACCTTGCTCCCTGAGTGTCCGACTGTGATGAAGGGTATCACAGAGCGCCGGCGCCCCATGTTGGCCACTCAAACACCGGCAGAGATGTTAACGAATTCTTTCAAAAAACAAGGTTCTGCAGTCACTTGCTCAGCAGGGGCGAGTTTGTCTCCGCTTCAAGGGGCTGAAGGTTTCGCCTCGTCTCCATCTCTTGCTGAACATTTCTTGCTTGTACGTGTTCCAAGATGTCTAAAGCCTAATGACATCGCAGCTCAAGAGTCAAGCGCATGTGCGATCAAATTCAAATCATTCAACCCTTGCCTTAGGCCACAGGAGGCACATGAGAAAACATGGGAATGTCCCTGTCCATGGGCTGCAAACGCCTAAACAAATAAGCAACTAATTAAACTCGATGGTACACTTATTACATGAGCTTGGAAGCTTATTTGATATCCACTAGCAAGTATCTTAAAACCTAAAGCATGGAACCGAATCATGTGGTCTTGTCTTGTCCTTTGGACAGCAGGCCTCCGACACTTCAGAGGTGGGACAGCCTGAGCACGTGCGCGAGGCGTACAACACCCTGCGCCCTGTAGGGCGTGGCACGCTGCGGAGCTAAGGACAGGACCTTTCAGCAAGGCCAACAAGGAATGCACCAACGGCTCGCTCAAACGTACGGCCCGATTGCCTAAGAGCAGAGGCACGTTTTCAAACAAAAGTTGTCTACTAAAACCAACTGGAAACAAAATGCAACCTTTTGGCCCGCCCTTTCATGTCATTCGTCTCTCCTGGATTATGTTTTCTGTTCTTGATCCTTAATTACGATGCCGTTGCAGATCTGCAAAGCCCCAAGAAGAAGGAAATCTGTCCGCAAGAAGGAAAGCTATATCATCAAGAATTCTTGCCGGGCAGCCTGTGAACTGCGATAAAAAGTCCATGGTAAGAAGCCTTTGCTGGTTTCTGTTTGCTCCACTCTTTCAGAGTCTTCAATCTCGATCAAAATCCTTGTTGGCACTGTCCATCACAGGCCACCGCGCTGGTAAAGTCCCTGGGGCAGGGCAGACTAAACAGCAAAACATCTGAGTGACGTCTGCACTGCAGCAAACCATGTCGCAGTTGAGCAATTCCACCCAGCCAAGCGTGGATGAGTCAGCAATCTGGATTGTGTGGATGCTGCACGCATCAGTTGCTTTTTTCCGCCAACCGGCATTTTGACCACTCCAATCAGAGAGCCACAAGGCTCAATAAACAACCTCGGCCAGTGTCCAAGACAAAAAGCTGCCATTGCGTGACATCCAGGTTCTACATCAAACAGTTGAGTTTGAATGTCTAGAGACCCAAAAACTCTAATGCTCGACCCAGGTCTATCAGTTTTTTGGCCTCGACTATCCCAAAGACTGAGGACCATCAGACTGATCAGGGTGCAAAATGTTTGATACTCTGTGCCCAAAAGACTTGGAGCGTGATAAAGACAAAGAAATCTTCTGCCCACAAAGTTTTTGACAAAGCTGAGAGGTCTATTAGCCTGAAGCGAGGGCTGGCAAACCCGCGCCTGCGCCAAAACGCGACAGGCATGGCTGATCGCTGATCTCTCTCCTTTGGAGAGTCCTGGCTAAGGCGGCAGCACATATGAGCACCACGCTGGGGTACAACCAGAAGGTATTAACTCAGCACTTGAAAGAAAAGAGAGTCAGAGAACCCAAAAACAAAGCTGCAAAACATGCACCAAAAGGGACAAAGGCTAACTTAGCTCACAGTCTCATATAATCTATTTATATATAGCATTTGTGGATGGTGTGAACAGAGCACAACCTTCTTCCGTGGTCTTGTCACACTGGCTCTCCCCTGCAGTAACTCCTCCCACCACCCGCTCCACATGAGTGCTGTGTCTTTAACCGTGCGGATTGTTGGCCATAAGAGGCTTACACTAGCTAAGCAAGTAAGAAAAGGTAGCTACTAAGCTTAAGTAGCTACCACAAGTACATAGGACACAGAAAGGCACGGGCTTCTTCAAGGAAGGTCGCCCCCGGCCTTAATGATTCGGTTCCTAGATGTTTCACCTCACCACCTTCTCACCCGCTCCGTCACCTCCCCTGTCTACCTTAGACTGGATTCGTCTCCCCGACACCTCAGCGTGCGCCGGGTGTTGCAGACCTGGGCGCCCAAAAACATCGAGCTACTCAAATTCAGAGAGCCTGCAAGAACAAGATGAGTAAAGATAACTGACATTGAGAGACAAAAACATCGACATTGGAGTAAAGTAGCTGTATTCTCAATCAATGGAGAAAAAGTAAAAAAACGCTGCCATTCTGCTCCGCATCATGTCCAACTCCAATGTCTGAAGGGGAAATGGTGTTTTATTGTTGCACCTGTTGTACTACATTCTCATGAAACTGTTTCCGCCTCCGATAGAAGTGAAAAACTGAAGAACCTTTTGTGGACTTTCTACCACCGTTCCTAAGCATTGGCCAGAACCTAAGATACAGATCTGATCTGAGTGTAAGCCGTCTAAGCCACAGGCATGTATGCAAAGTACCTGAGTCAAGGGAATGATGCACCAGTATTTTAGGGTCCAAAAAAGCACCTTCTCCTGCGTAAATTTCACGTGGTGGACAAAAAGCAACACAACCTGGTTTTGACTTCAAATATTGTGTGTGTGGAAACCACCAGAAGCCAAGACCTGAAATGAAATCATCAAGTAATATAGAAGACTACAACAACATGCAGTAATGCAGAACTACGTCCAGCAAAATCGAGAAAACGGTAGCAAATGAATGTGTGACGAGCATTAAACAACAACAACAACAACAAGAACAAGAAGAACAAGAGGCCAAAAGAGCTACACGCTTGGCGTTCTTGGCACTCCAAAGCACTCTTGCCTTGCAACCAAGTGGCTGTTCCATGGGAGAGGAGTCTCCTTTCATGAACCTGGAGATGCCAGCAGGTCTCCGGGTGCCCAATCAACAGTTTCAGTGCGAAAACAACGCGGCTTCTTTCCAAACAGAATCCAGACAGGTCACAAAATGTTCACCCAAAGGCATCCCATGTTGACATCATCGGCAAATACAGTGGTCCATTGATGAGGCCAAAGAACGGTTTTGGTCCAAAGTTCCAAACTCTACAGCGTATGGACGTTCTAGGTCAAAGTGCGAGTTGCACCAACGTTTCAGCTCAGTTGCTTCAAGTACCAGGTGCAGAAATCGACAAATGTCCTTAAAGGCGAGCATGGAGAACGTCGTTGGTCGACGAGGTAGACATCTTCCAAGCAATTTGGTCTCAAGCTTACACTCATCTCAAGTTCGTGCTACTGCTCCCAAAGCACAAGCCGCCTGCTCAACATGCTGATGACAAACTATGGAGAGATGTTCAACTGCCCATAGTCCCAGTCAGCCCACCGTATCCAGAAATCAGCCCAGGTACACAGAGCCACGGCCATCTTTGTCAAAGTCCTTCCAGAACATCTTGAATACATGTTCTGGAACCTGGCAGAACATCAACGACCTGTTCGGTCTACCCGGCTGAGACTGCGTCTTGAGTTCTAAGCAAAAAGATCCGCATCCAGAAATCGACTCCGACCTTCCGTGAACCAAAGTGCTAGGGGTGCTAGTAACTACGAGCGGCCATTGTGGCAACTGGGCATAAAATGTTGACAAACTTTGTCTGTGGTGACATCGTCCGCTTCTCCAACTCAGTTCTCGATAGCCTCGGGACCTTTAGGTGCAAACTCCTTCTGAATCCTGGGCAGCTGCAAGTGACAACAGGACTTCGGACATGTGTCGAGCAAGTTCTCCTCTCACTCCACGCAAAAAATGTTTGCTTGATCAATACATACGTATACAAACATCTCTTGACGTTCTCCCCTTCTCTTTCCCTCTCTGGAAGAAAGTCGGGAAAGATAATGTTCAAGTGTGGAATACCAAACTGAAAGCATGGGCATCATTTCTTCCAGCACACTCTGTCGCTACTAACAAATGAAGTGATGATATCTGTGAAGTAGTGCAGCGGAGTCAGAGATGAGCGTCAAGATCCGGAACTCATTCATCTCGAGGGTATTGCTGTTGTCAGTGTCCAGCTTTTTGAACTCATCCTGGGTGAGCATAGCGCTTGAAGCCACTTGTGCCTGGTGCTTCTACTGTGATATGTGTCTCGCGCCAAAAGTCTCGAAACATCTCTGAACTGGCTTTTGGAACCCAGCACCTGTTGTAACTTTGGGGACCTCTGACACAATGCTTTCTTCTACAAGGCACATAGAGCTTCTCAACCTCGAGAATGGATCGGTTCAGGTTCTTGGCCACGTTTCTGACCATGATCTGGTCACCCCTTAGTTCATTCGTGATTGAAGGTCTCTGATCTGTGAACACCTTTGCAGAGTGCAAACGAAAATGAAGTTTCAGAAGGATTCAAAAATGACCAGAATGTTTATGTTTCAGAAGGATTTAAAGGCTACAAATACAAAAAAAATAAAGGATAATCAGGCAAATCAATCAATGAACCTGCAGGAAATTGTTTTGAACAGTTGCTTCTCATTTACTCACCAAGGTGGTTGTGCCCAAAAGGTTCCACCGAAACAGCAGAATCATGAAGCAGTGAACTTACTTGACAAACTGTAAGATCTGACTATATAAATGAATGTGCAAAATTCTTAGTAAGTCTTTTTTGCAGGCCTGGTTTCTCTTCAAACTACAGTCGTAAAGCAATGTAAAGAGGTCAGTTGCACTGTGATTCCATGGATGCCATTCGCATACACAGCTTTGCCAGGATACGAGATCTCTTCAGGGATAAACTTCTCTCCATAGTCCAAGATGTCCTGAGGGTGGATAAGCATCTCCATGCGGCTTGTGCTGTTCTGCCATAAGCATAAAACACACAGAATTCACACAAACGCGTTCTAGTTGTCCTATTTCTCAATTGATGTATATATATAAGCAGAACTAGTTCGAAGCTCCTCCCCTTGCCCCGTCCAAGCATCAATCCCCATGAGCTCCGCATACCAGCGCTGGAACTCATCGAAGTCGATCGTTCCACTGCCATCGCTATCCACCTCACCGATACGTGATCGCAGCTTGACACAAGGGATTGATGAGCAGCTACTCATATCTCCAACGAAACAGACGTGGCATGGGCATGGCATACTGTCTGCTGATCTTGCGCAATCCGATTTACGGGCACATGTAGGTCAGAGAATCCACTGCCCACTGCTGCCTGATCCCAGACGGCCCAAACTTCCCTCTTGTCCAGCTCCTCAAATGGCACAAACCAAAAACAACGTATCATCGTGCAGAAATGGCAGCCCAAGAGGTCCGGATGGCGAAGAGCAACATCTTACTACCGACACGTTCGGAAAAAGGAGCATTGAATGGTAGGCTTGTGAAATCAAGCTCTCTTGGAGCTACTCAACTTCAAGCGCTGAGCAAGCTGCCAAAAAGACGCCCTTCAAACCTCTTGCCAACAGATCATCACCACTACACTAGGCTTGCACCACGTGTTCACATTTCCTTTGCAGCTATTCAGTCGGCTGAAACGTGCCAAAAGTTGGGCCAGGCAGCCAGGCAAAGACAAAAGTTGTGACTTCAATGGTCTCAGTAAATCTCCCAACTGTCCCTGCAAGTCCTCCGGCTTTCGACGCAGCAACTTGGACAAGAGCGGCATAAATTCCTTGACTGTTGTGAACTCGGACAAGGTATGACTGTTTGTCCCCAGAAACGACCGAACGTACCTTTCCACGCGGCGAATGATATTGATATTGAATTGAATCATGGCTATTGAGTGAACAAATGCTGCCAACAGATTCTGCACTTGTTCAGTTGCCTCATTGCCCTGCGCCCTGAGACTCAGAGACCGCATCGCATGGTTCCACCAAGCGGCTGGTGGTTCGATGAGGCCACTTCCATCGGCATCAAAGTCCATGTAGATTCTGCGGATGGAGTTCAGGTCCGTCACAGCCTGCAGGTCGGGTGGAGGCGACTGCGAGAGACACCTGGTACCAACACCAACGAAAGTAAACCAAAGAAAGCAAAAGCAGCCGGGGTTGTGCAGGAACTTGGGATC